CTCGATGAGATGAAAGGGTCACTCTGGATCCCGCATTAGAAGAATTCCTGGCTAGGATCAAAAGGAGAGACTCCAGCGGGTGGTTGGTCAGTGGGATATTCACCCTTCATGAAGGTGAAAGCCAACAGGCGGGTCCATGAAGAAATGTTCATTTGCATTCCCCATTCCCCAATGAGTTCCAGAAGGTCCCAGGAACCTAAAAGGAGTTATTGGCAGCCATAACAACAGTTCCAGCCTCTGCCCAGATATTTTGCTGAAAGCTACCACACCACTACATACCATTCCATATGAAACTGCCCTACACTTTGATCTTATATTTCCCACATTAACCATGAGAAGAAAAGGGATGAAGAGCAATCTATTTTCTACCAGACCAGAGAGAGAGAGAGAGAGAGAGAGAGAGAGAGAGAGAGAGAACCTGCAAATGATAGAGAAAATGTGATATTTGGTAACTCTTCGTCTGATTGACTTGTCTTACTATAATAATCTCCAGGTAATCCATTTCTTTTTCCTACATATCAATTTTTCTTGCTTCATATATATGACAGATAGCACATATATCATACAAATCTATATACATGTACTTCTATACTACATATGCGTGTTTACATGTTTTTATATTAACAAGGCTTCAACCCAGTACTATTGCCCTACTAGTAGTTTTGGAGGTTTATTTCTTGCTCTGTAGACTCACAGCACTACCCATTACAACATGCATGCATAGATAGCACATGGGCATTTTTGAGTCTTGGTGGGTCTCATTGTCGGTGTTTCTAATGATATGTTGAAAATTAGTAGGGTACTAAAATTATGTGTATAATATATCGCGCGAAATAGCTGTGTTGTATACAGAGGAGGGGGGATCCAGAATGTCAGCTCTAAGTACTACAGACTTTTATTAGACTCTAATGCCAAGGTGCGGGTTTTACCTTGGGATCTTGGATACTCAACAGACAAAAGAGAAAACCCATTTCATGGGGATTATGTTGACATGATCCTGTCTGGTAGTTTGAGCAGAGTGCTCAGGAAGTTTCCCTTAATTCTCAACTGTGAATTTTCTGACTAATCCCGATCCCTTGAGATGTTGTGATAAAGGGACTTGGTCTTAGGTTTTGATTTTAAAGAGCACAGGCAGGGTGAGAATTTTCACAAGAACACCAGAGGGATTCTTATATACCTGATCCAGGAAGAGAGAGATGCAGATCGCAGATCTTCATGAGCTAAGATAATAAGAATGGCTGGCATTTACAGGAAATGGGGATGTGGGTCTCAGAGAAAGCCCTTGGATCTATTAAGCATTTCACAATCTTATTCCTCCTCTGTTCTCAGCTAAGAACATCAGTCTATCACAGAACATGTACAAGCCCAAGACAGGCAAATCAGGAGAATTCAATGTTGTAGTCCTGTGCACAGAATGTCCAAGTCGTGCCCAGGGAATGGAGGCACCCTGGGTGGCCAACCTGTTATTATGGGGGAATTTTGATCTTCCCTAATGTTTGTGACTTCTTTGCCCCAAACCACAGCCTCAGAAAACCAGGATCACACAGTAGAAAATCTCATCAGGTTGGGAATTGCTGGCTTGGTCCTCATAATTCTTGGGGTTCTGCTTCTTGAGGCTTGGCAAGCCAGAAATGGACCTACTGTGCGGCTGGGAAGTAATCAGAAGAGAAAGAAGAACGTCGTTCAAGGTCCCAGAGTCTGAGAAAGAAATACGATAATCCCAAATTTCTACAAAAACAACAACAACAAAAAAAAAACTATTTCTTTTGTTGAGAAACTGTTGTGAGGAGGTCCAGGGAGCAAATGTGTTTTGGGATGCAGGGGAAGGTGTGGATATTCTCATGAGATTCCTCCATTAATAAATAAATGTCTATCCTTCCACCTATTGTCGGCGTTTTCTGACTGATCCCACTCTATCCTGA